GTAGAGGAGTAGGGGAATTGAGAACTCCAATCTGACTTAGCCTGAGTGACACGCCACACTCTAGACAGGGGTAAGAGGAGCACAGCAAAGTGATATATAGACCCACTGGAACCACAAAGAATGGGGGAAGGGCTAGGTGCTAAGCAGAAAATATACTACAGCTCTCCACTAAACACAGCCATCAGACATCACTTCTCTGTTGCACAGTCATAATGTGCCATGTGATACAAAACGCTGTGGAATGGTGAGGTACACTGTTACCTGGGAAGGTAAACTAATGTGGTACATCATGGAGAGGTGTGGCACATAGTTTTAAGGTGAGAGATGCTGTGGAGAGCTCAGGGACACTGTGGTGAGAGGCAATGTTACCTCACACACACCAGAGGGCCCAGTTTCACCTGCAGCTGCTGCTTCCCCTCACCACCTAGTCTCTCATGACTATCAATGCTCAGGCCTGTGCTCTTTTCCTTGCATTGTACTTGGGACTCCCTCCACACAACCTGGCTATTTCCTTGCTGAGCACTTCCTTTTATGATCCATTCGTTGCAGCTGGGTAGCATTTCACACACTGTCTTTGGGAAAGATACAATACTGATCACACTGTGTTACAGCACTGGGCGCTTAATGAGGGCTTGATTAATGAATGAGTGAGAACACATTACTGAGAGGGTGAATAGAGCAAATAACTGAACTCATCCTCACATTCAACAAACATTTATTAACACAGAAATGAGTAAGGCTTGGCCCCCTGTTTTCAGAACGCTTGGTATAGAGGGGCAGACAATCACAAAGCTACAGTAGAATCACAGTATAAGTATTATCAATGAGGTACAGACAAAGTACTTTGGAGGCACAGTGAGAGGGAGAGAGGGATGAGGGAGAAACATCTTCCCAACTTGTACCTGACTAGAGCATTCAGGGAAGTCTCCAGAGAAGTCATCTGTGAGTTGAATGTTGAAGGAGGAGTAGAAGTCACTAGACGAACAGTAAAGGAAGGTGTAGGTAAGGTCAGATAAGTGAGGGATTCAGGGAACCAGGCAAGAATGATGGAATATGGAAATCAAGAGGGATAAGGACTGAGTAGGACTAATAAGCACAAACCCATGGAAATTTAAGGTCTTGCTTCCCCATGAAGATGGAAGGGGAAGACAGGAGGGTGAGAGGTCTTCAGATATGGGTTCCTGCCACTCCCTCAGTCAGGCCACAGGGCTCAAACACCAAAGCCAGAGCTCCACAGTTGTGATCTAATATTCCTAAGCCACTAAACTGTCAAGGGCCCCCTTCCAGAAGCGAAGAATTTGTATAAGTAATGCAGTTCTAAACGGCAGACAGCTCCTTTCATCTTTCGCAGATGCAGTTCATTCTGCCTAAGAAATAGCTCTACTTCCTTCAGGAAATCAGATGGGGTGTGGAACCTAAGAAGGGAAGGTGGGCTAGGGTTTGGGCCTTGCAGTGATCTCATAATTGGATGTAATATGATGATTAAAGTCTGTTTTTTTTTCAAATTATATTTATGTATCAACACAAAACTCGAAAAAAAATACTTTCATAAACCCCTCTGTCTTGTTATTCCTGTGTCCTCCATTTACTTCTTTCATACCCGTATGCATTTTAATATGCTTTAATTTTAAAAATAAAACCTTTTAAGCTGTTTAATTTTAATACATCCTTTTAGTTTAAATATTTTTTATTTTACTCTCTCAAATTGAACTTGTCTAAAGTTTTTTATATATTTTACAATTATTTTTCTCTAATTTTCTTTTAAGATCTTTAAAGTATAATTTTTACACAAATTTTGTGCTTTTGTCCTTAATTGTTCTAAACTTTCCTCTTTTAAAACTTTTCTCTAAGGTTAAATTTGAATTTTCATCCCATTCTGTATTTTTTTAAAACTTACTTCTTAAACTATGCATACATTTTGCTAATCTTTGATTTTTCAACACATCTATGCACTAATTTTTAAAGATTTTTATATTTATATTTGTTTATATTAAAATTTTATTTCATTTAAATTTTTAATTTTAAGAGTTTCCTTCTCTTCTAATTTTTAAATTTTCAAACTGTTTTTTTCCACTTTTATTTTTTGGTAAACTTTCATTTAAAATTTTTTCCTTGTTTTATTCATTTTACCTTTTTTAAACTAAGAATTTCTAAAATTTGCTTTTAAGCCTTATTTTAATAATTTTAGAGTTTTAGATTTAAAAACAAAATTTTAAAAATATTTCTTTAAAAATATTTAACTTAAAATTTGTCAAAATTTGAAAGAATTTTTCTTTTAAAATTAAATGTTTTTCTTTTAAAGCTTTTGAAATTTTATTTTAGATATTCTTTCTTTTATTTAACTATTTGACCAGTTGGCCACAGCTAGAACACCGACCTTGAAGCTTTTTTCTGATGAAGGAACACTCCGTGACTTCCCATAGTAATTTTGTAGAAACAAATGCCATATACTAGTGCCAGAACATCTCTATTCCCACTCTCCCCTTAAAGCACTTTTTTCACTTAATTATGTTTTATGTGACCACTTTCAACCTCTTCTCTCTCCTCCCATTTCTTAAGGCTGAATGGTCACTAGTTAGTATTCTTTTCTTTCCTCTTAGAGACCCATAGGCCATGGTAAAATAGGTTCTTTATATCAAGGTGCTAATTGTCATATATGGGCTGTTGTCCTTGTCCACTTCAGGTAGCTTTTGGTGACACATCAAGAGGTGCTCTTTGTTGTATGGGTATTGTCATTGTCCATTCCAGGGAGGTTTCTGTGTCACTTCAGGATCCTTGCCTATTCATTTATTTTACTTTTTTCTGGCAAGTGGTCTGATATGACTAGTCTTTCTCTAGACCCTGTTTGTGATAAAACAGTAAATATCCTTCACTGTAGAGTAAGTCCTCAATGGTAGCCTTGGTGATGACAGCATCATCACAGCTGAACCACTGGTCCTTTTGTTGCCGGATAAAGCTGGTGTAGTGTCCACTTTCCAAAGTTCCATGGTGATTAATCACTGCAAATAAGGAATACTTATTCTCAATGGATGCATGATCTGTTGATGGCTGGCCTTCTTTCATTCTGCTCTCTTTAGTGGAGGCCAAAAACGGAGTCATGTCCAGCTCCAAGGGAAAGGAGATAAAAGTATTAATCTTTCGTCTCTGTTTGCCTACATGTTCAAACCGCTTGAGATGAAAACAGGCCACAATGGGTAATTTCTTCATTGTGAGCTGTTTGGTAGATTCCTGGTAGCTTTGGCAACTACTGCACTTGATTTTGGCACTGCTTCCTAGATGCTCTGGCCTTGTAAACCATTGTAAGCAGTCTGTGAGTGAGGGGATTCCTGGTATGTGGTCATCCCTACTCACTGTGCTGTCAACCCTTTCTGGGCTCTGGGAACTGAATGTGGCACAAGAGCCAGGCAAGTCCAAACTGATGTCCCAGCATGGGTCTATTGTGGTGGAAACAGTATGGCAAACTTGACATGTGACATCTGACTGCAAACCACCTGTAAATATTTGGTCTATGATGCAGTTACAGCAGTTGGGGTTATTGGCCTCCTGCCCAACACTATCATCCTTGCTATGTCTATGCAGCACGTCTAATATTGCAATAAGGAACTCGTGGGCATCCTGCTGTCTGTACCCTGCTAAGTGTTCTGCATGAATCCATATCAGGTGCAGTAACTTATAGGGAATGTGAGGAGTTCTGCTCCCAGAGTACATAGCATGAAAAAGTGAGGACATTTCACAGACAAGACACAAACTGGGGCTTGTCATTATACATTTGTGCTTGTCAGAGAGGAAGAAATCTTTCAGTAGAGGAATATGGGTAAGCGCCTGGACAATACAATTCATAAAACAGGTGTTCCCAAGATTGATTAGCCCTCTCAGGCCTACAGTATAGACTGATTTTTTTCTCCTCTTTTTCTTGGGTTTCACCAATTTTGGCTCTTGTTCCTTTGACTCACAAGTTGACTGCTTCTCTTCAACACCTGATGCCATACACTGTTGTTGAGAAACATCCGATGAGGTGGAAGTTAATAATTTCAAAATTTTCTCTTTTGTTTCTTTGGCAATCTGTTCTATGTCTTTGTCATATACATAATCCTTACACATAAAGCAATATATAACCCCATGATAGAGGTCTACAGCTAAATTGTGCTGCTTGGTTTCTGCATGTTTGTGAATATGTTTCTCAGTAAAGCAGCCAAAAAAGACACAGGAGAGACAAGAGTGGAGTCTGTTCATATGGGTACTACATACATGACAGATGCACGACTTTGCCTTACGTTTCCTAGTCTCCGGGGTCCCACTCCAAACGAAACGCTGGTAGATCAACCGCAGATTCTTCTGCCAGTTCTTGGCTACTTTAAAGCTCTCTACATGAGAGCAGCCTGTGGGACCCTGATCAAACTCCACCTCCAGAAGCCAGTCCCCTAAGCCACCTCCATCCCCAGAGCCGCCTAGGTCACCAGAACAGCTTCGCCGAGTCTGGGGCCTGGACCCTGGCCGGGATCTACGCCGAGATCTGGGCCAGGGCCGGGCCCGGGGCGGCGGCAGAGGGGGAGGATGGGCTGGAGGCGGGGGTGGGGCCGAAGGCACGGGCGGGCCTCGGAAGCGGACCCGGGGCTGGGGCCGAGGGCGGGGCTTGCGGAGAGGGCAAAGGGGCGAGGAGCTGCTGTGACAGCGAGGGGGGGTTGAAGGGAGCACCTTCTCATCGCCGCTGCCGCCTCCGCCGCCGCCACTGCTCCACGTCAAGTTCTCCTCATGTGCAGGCTTAGGCTCTTGTAATGGCTCCAGCTTCATCTCCTCTGCTCCCAGGCCTGAATACGCTTTCGTCGCCCCCACCGCCTCCTCCTCCATTTCCCCCGCCTTCTCAGCCACCTCCTCGGGCGAGGCTCCTCCTCCACCTCCCGAGCTCCCGTGGACCAGAGAGCCGGAGGGCAAGGAAGCTTCTCGAATTTGGGCCATCAGTTTACCGCCCGGCCTGACAAGAGAGGCGTCTGGAATCGAGTTGAGACTGTAGATCGAATGAGACAGGGATTTTTGTGAATGATCTGGCCAGCGTCATGGCCGCGGTACGCCATTAGCGTCCCCGGTACCCCTCCCACTGGCCCTTGAGCTCAGCCAGCAGCCGCTGCGGACTCCACCCACTCTACTCAATGGCTCCCGGAGCTGGTGCGGAGACCAAGCCGGTTACCTGGCTTGAACGCGATCGGATCGTGCTCCAAGTTGGGGGATGGGAGGTGGGGATGGGAGGTGGGGGTTGGAGGGCGGAGGATAGGGGACGAAAAAGGTGGGGGGCGGGGTACGGCCTGAGCTTTAGGGTAGAAAGAGATGGAATCTTCTTTAAAAAAAAGGCGCCACCCTCTAGACTGCCTTTCCTGCGCCTAGCACAGCCTCGCTTTGGTACGGCTTCCTCTGACGTTCTTTCTTTTTATCCTAAAAACACTTGGGTCAACATTTTACTTTAAAAATGGCTGAAAGGGGGCCACCTATAGAAAATGGGCTCGGGGGAAGAGGGTGTCCCTCTGCTCCCACCTTACCTATGCTCCTGGGGCCGGGTGTGTTCCACACTTTGACCCTACTTCCAAGCGCACGGTCTTTCGGTCAGCCAGGCTCTTGCGCCCTCTCACGCTCTTTCGCGCTTGTGTTCCATCTCACACCTCGTTCCTTGCTTCTGCACCCTCATTCCTTACGATTCTTCCGAGAATTCGGACTCCTCGCGCCCTTCAAGCATTCGCCGCCCCTGCCTTCAGTCCTTAGCGACTGCCTGAGTCCCTGCCTTTTGCCGCCCCTGCCTCCGCAACGACCCCCAACCCCGCTGTTTGTTTAAAGGTCTGAGTTACCTTGGGCCCCAGGCGCGTGATACAGAACGTCAGCAGCTGCTGCTGTCCAGGCGCTCCTCAGCCAGCCTTCTCTCCTGACCTCTCCTCAGGGCTGGTCACAAGGGGGCCGCCCCCTGGCCCCTCCCCTCTCGACGAGTGGCCCCCAGCCCCGGATTCTGCCCTCCTGCAGTGATGAATGGCACCGCTGTCCCGCGCAGACAAACCTCTTCCTGAAACAGATTCTACTGGAGGTAACCACAGCGACGGATTTTAGAGAAAGCTCCTGGAGTGGATGTTCTGGCCTCACCTGGCCCCAGGCCTGAGCTTCGCAGAAAAAAAAATATTCATTGGGAAGGGGCGGGAGGTTGCAGGGATGTCAACTCCCTTACGGTAATCCCTTAGGGACCCATCAGAATATGATCTCTGGGAGTTAAGTGGAGAGAGGAATTCTAGAGTGTGGGGAGGGGAAGCATAAGCAAGGGCTTCAGTCTCTGATAGGAGAGCTTAGGGACTTGCTAGCTGTGTGAGCTCAGATAAAAGACCTAACCTCTCTGAGTTGTGGCGTCTGTTAAACAAAATTGGAAATAATCCCAACCTGTTATGAACAGCAAATTATAGTGTATATAAAGGATTTTTATGGCAAGCTTCATTTTTCATAACCTCCCTTTCTCAGTCCCCACCTTAAAATCAGCCTATAGCACAATGCCGAATACGGGATACAGGAAAAGAACACTTCTGTCTTTGGAAGCTCTCTCAAAATTATCGCTCAGTTCATCAGATTGTCCCTCCTAAGCAATTCATGTACATGAGCAAGCATTCAACAAATGTACGTGAATCCCTTAACTGTGCTAGCTGCATTAGGTTGTACTGTGAGTACTCAGTAAAATGATTTGTGTCCTCCACAAGTTCAGAGCCCAGGAGACTTTTTCCTTCCCTTTAACACATTCAGCATCTAAGGCTATAACCCCATGATACATGCTATCTCCAGAATTTGTTGCCCTTCCTGTCCAATCCCAAGAATATTCCTGCGTATCAGTAAGGATGTTTAATGCTACATTTAATCTCTCTGTGATAGTCATGTACCTCCTCTCTAAACCTCAGGATTAAGGTTCAGTTCTCTCAGGCTTGGGAGTGATATCTCCCAAAGAGATTCATTAATGTCTATGAATTTTCAGAGCACAGATAACATGATCTTGGAGAGAAGAACCACCATAACTGTCATGTAGCCCAGAGTGACTATAGGTTGAGAGTTTCAAATAAGTCTCCTTTAAAAAAATATATTTATGGGAACATTTACCTGGGAGACAAGAGAGTAATGCTCTTATACTTTTACATCATTACTAGTTATGTTAGTAATCTAAAGCAAGCTACACTTCATCTTTACAACTGTTTCCTGAGTAAGAAAAGAACTGGTTTCACCTGCTAGCAGTTCTTATCATAAACTCATGGCAACTTAACAGGAATCCCAATGATGTTTCCAATTCACAGATACTTGGCCCCCAAGTCAGCTAATGACCATAGAGCTGACTGGAAAGACCGCTGCCACTCTTGTAGTTCTAACTGCCACATCCGCACATCAGAGGGGAAGGGCTTACTGTTTTCAAGCTAGAATTTTAAGTTTCTCTGGATACAGCTAAGCTCTTGGTACAGGACCCTTGAGAAGGAGTCTTAAGAGATGTAACAGCCCACTCAAACCGAAGTGCATTAGTTTAGACAAACTTCAGTTTGTCTTTCTCTGGAGTTTTCAAAGGACTTTTAAGTAAAAAAAAAAAGAAGAAGAACAACAACAACAAGGACAGCAGTGTTTTCCAAAACCGTGGAACTTGGACTTGTGTAAATATTAGATTTAGACATGGGAGTTAGACAGCTTGTACCAGAGTGTGGAGGAGCGCACACACAAGGTGGGGGTGAAGTGAGAGAAGCAGAAGTGTAGTCACCAGTGGGTGCCCAGGAGGACTTTGAGGGGAGGCAGGGTTAGAAGGGGAAAATGTCCTGCCCTCCTAATGGTGAGTGGGTGGTGGCACAAGGGAAAGCGGAGGCCCTTGTGGCCTGAGGAGCAGCCCCTTTTACCTCCCCTGCTTCTCCCCCTCCATCTGAATCACCCTTTGTCTTGTGTGTCCTTCTTTTGGCAGATAGAGTAGGGTAAGAGAGCTCAGTGGCCCTGGAAGTCCCAGCAGTGCCACTGCTACCTGAAAAGTAGCCAGTCATCACCCCCACATACTGGCCTGTTCCTCTCAGACCAAACCTTGTGATTCTGATCCACTCCTGACAGTAGAACCCTGAGGGCTACACCAGGGAGAGGGAGCAGATCCTCAGGAGTCCATGATGACTCTGAAATCACCCCAGAGGTCCCACCCCAACTGCGTTCCAGAGTCAGCTTTGGTCTGGATCAATCTACAAAGATCTGTTCTTTCTTCTGGTTTCCTCCTGTTTTATACCCTCCTCCAGGAGGCCTTCTCTGTTCCCCAGATCTGGAGGGGATCCCTCAGAGTACAGCAGTAAGTACAACATGACCTTTGTAAAGAAGATCCTCTTGAGTCCCTCAATTTGTACCCTGTCCCAGCCCCTCACCCTCTCCTAACCCTGTCCCTTTGTCAGCAAAACGAGATCTGCATGAAGAGACTGCCCACAAAGAAAGAAGGTATCCTATCGAAGTATAGCTGGAAAACATGTCCACATCTTAATCATGTAGAAGTATCTGGAGGGAAAGCTTTTTGGAATTGTAGACTAATTTATGAAGGAAAGGACTTTTTCCCCTAGGTAAATACATTTGCTCAGCCACAGCTAACAAAAGAGTTGCTCTTTTTGGGTTAGCAGACCTAGATGGAAATGCTGACTTGGTCATTTTTTAGCTGTGTAACTAACATGAGGCCCAATAATGTATGTTTCTAACAATTTACCAGCTAATGCTGGTGCTGAATGCTGATGATGCTAGTATTAGAACCAGACTTTGAGAACCACTGCTGTGGGTTAATGTTAATGAACCACAAGTCAAGGCCATCTAGCCTTAGTAGCAGGAACCCTTTCTGATGTGACTGTTTTCCCACTCTATTTTCTCTTGGCTTCCTTTGTGGTTTTCTAACTGCAGCAGGTGCTAGGGGTGGTTTGAGGGTAGAGTGGAATAGGAAAGAGAGGGATCTGAAAAAGCCTGCTTCTGTACTCTTGGTGCTTCAGAATCTTTAAAACAAGCCCCCTGCAACCTCACACAGCATCTTTCTCCCATCCTGGGCCTCTTTTCCTCAATTCCCTCACTTCTCTAAGGCTAGCATTCCAAAAGGAAGACTCAGCCATTACCTGCCCATGACTAGGTCTGCAGGGAGAATGCTGTGGACTGGGTTCAGGTCTTTTGGGACCCACATTGCCTGCCAGCCTCTTGCCCTACTCCTCCACTAGATCCCTTCTTCTGCTTCTTTCTTCCCTGTTCCCCAGTTCCTAGGTAATCTGCTTCCAGCCTTCAGAAGGAACAGCCTCAGAAACCGCTGCTGTGAGTACTCTCCTGCTCACAGACCCAAGATGATTCCTGTGGCCTCTTGGTTTTTTAAAATGGAAACTGCCCAACTTAATTCTGATAACTACCTCCAAATAAGCCCAACCTCATCTTCACTTTCTTCCCTTCTTGACTCCAGTTCTTCAACCACAGAAACCTCTGTACCATCTCTGTCTATGAGATAATATGTATGAAAACACCTGGCATGGTCCTCCCAACCCTTTCCCTTCCTCACGGATTCTCATTTCAAAACATCTCCTAGCACAGACATTCACAAACTTTTGGCACTTTGGGTCCCTTTGGCAGCCTATGGCTCCCTTAAGAGAATAATATTTGTTTTTAATAAATATGTAAAGTTCCCAAGATTATAACAGAAATTTATTATACTGAAATACGGTTTGAAATTTTAATAGATACTGTGATTTTGATAATACATGCTCCTTTATTAACACATTAAATAGTAGTATCTAGTGATGGATATGATAACTGCCATAATTTCAAAGTAGGTATGAGCATAAATGATACTTTGAGAAATGTGAGACAAATGTAATGTGAAATGAACATCTTTATTGATGACTTTGTTACATGTACTAGTAATATTACTGTGATATCTTGCCTCGGTTCATAATTGAAGGACGTGCTCAATTTAAGTTAGAGATCGGTGAAAATAGACATAGGTCTTTTTCACATCCATATGTACAGACTTCTTTGAATTCCATATTCTGACTGCTCCAACTTCATAATGTCCTGATCACTTTTCTTAGTGGGAAAATGTATTACAAACCATCCATTAATTGCATATTATGTGCTCTTCTCTCTACACCCATTAAAATGTATCCTATCACTTGTGCAAGGTAGGCATTGCTATCCACACCTTATAGCTGGGAAAACAGAGGGATCATTTCACATTAACCCAAGGTCACAAATGAAAATGAGCTGTACTGGCCTTGGAGCCTCCAGAACTTTTGACGTAGTGTTATATTCTATCTCCCAATCATTTATTTGCTTTGGCTTTTTGTATAGCAGAATGTAATTGGAACCTGTGGCTCAGTTCACTATGTTTCCACACAATTCTAGGTAAATTACTGAGTGTTTGTGTAAGGGAGTCAAGACACCTCATTCACTGAAGAAGCCAACAGACCACATGTCCCAGTAAGGGAGGGATGAGGCTGTTGGACCTATAACTGGAGGAACTCCTCAGGTCTGACTATGCAGAGACTCTGAAAAAGAGCCTTGCCTGGGGCCTCAGCAGAAGGGCATGAATGTGGAGTCAATATTGAGTATTGAGACAGTACACACTGTTAACCATAACTTTTTAAAATACTGGAATGATTCCATGCTGGTAAGTGTATATAATAGTACTTGTGAGAAGTGGCATTGATATGAATTTTCACATAAATCATTAGATGTCATGCTGACCTCTACTAAATGGGCATCCTACTGCAGTGACATCTGAGAAACATCAGAGGCACTTACTGACTGCAGGTTTGTCCTATCTCGTGGTAGCCAGTGCAGTTGTGTTTTCCATTATTTATGAAAGACTCAGGCTTTAGAAGAAGTCACTACTTCACCATTATCCTTAAGTTACGTAATTGGTACTGCTACTGAATACAAAGGTCTTTATGTTGATTTTTTTTCTTATTGGTTATTGTTTTTGTTAAAGTTGTCAGTGGGCCAATATTTTGATATCTAAAATTTTAAGATTTTGAAATAAAAAAGCAAAACTATGCAGAATCATGAGAATACCAATTCTGGATAATTATCTCAACTTTTATGTTAATTAGAGCAATGGACCTCCAAATCTCTGGGAAAATAAAAGAGATATACTAATAAAAATGAATTGCCTGGCCCATCTCATAGCATTGTGGGGGAAAAAAGCAGTATATCTCTCCATTTGGAAAATGTAAGAATCTGTGAAAAATAAGACAGTGTATATATCTGACATAAAAATCCACGTGATTATTTAAATTTGGAAGCAGTGGTTTATTTTATATGGTAGTATTTTTACTTTATATTTTCACTACATAATATGCACAGGGCAGAAATTTAGAAAGTACAAAATGGTATATAGTAAAATGTTTCCCACCCTCTCCTGAACACAGCCACCAGCTTCCCCTTGGAAGAGACATCCACTATTGCTAGTTTCATGTGTATCTTTCCAGAAATATTCTGTGGAAATACAAATTTAAATATGTACTGCCTAGGCCA